CAGGACATCCAAGATAGAACCTGTGATTTCCAGAAGCATGCTCCCCTGTAATATGTTATAGCCAGCTCCCAGGCCAGAAACTCCAGCTTCTGCCTCTCAATCAAGGTCATTTCTAGTTAGAGACCAAGTTCTATGTCTTCTACCTCATGATGTCTCTCAAATCAGCCCTGCTCTTTTCACTATCACTACGACTGCTTAGACAAGCTTGGCCATCTCACTTGGATGTGGCAATAGTCCCTGATAAGGAAGAGATGATATAGCAGTCCCCATTGAGAGGGGGACTCAGAGAAGGAGAAATCTCTCCAAACACACACGATGCCATCCCTCACTTGCTCAAAAGCCTTCTAGGTCTCTCTGTGACTTAAGAAATGAAATCCAAAGTCCTTAATGTGACAATCCACAGAACTGAGCCCTGGCCACCTTCCTCGCCTCATTCCTCAGCCTTTTATAGCCCACATCCCAGCCACACAGGATTATCTGTGATGCCCAAATGCACTCTATATTTTTCCCCCTGCAGCTTTTGTTTCTCTTGCTTTTGCCTCAGCTTGAGTGCTCTTCTTCTTTCCTCTAGGGGAGCAAGTAAGCAAGAACATCAAGGGATTTTTCTTAACCTGACAGACACCTCATACCAATGTTTATTGTAAAGCTACAGATACAATGAGACACAAGAGCAGAAAGGCTAAGTATGAGGGCCTTTGCAACAGTGACTGGGTTTCAAGTCCTGGTCGGCTGTTCACCAGCTGTATAACCTCTTTGGGTCTCAAAGCTTAGCGCATCAGTAGAATGGGCACAATAATCTTACTGACCTCCCAGGGTTGCGGGGAAGGTGAAAAGAACAAGCAAGGCATGTTAGGTGCACAGTAGGTGCACAATAAGCATCACTCCTCTTGGTTATAGCATTTAAAATATACGCTATTGTTTGAAATGAAAACCCAAACAAATCTAAGATACTTTATATGTATACCTATCAAAAATGATTGAAAATGACTGAGCCCCCATTGGCTGATTTATGGGACTGCTGGAGGCACAATATGTTATTATAATCCCTTTGATAATTGGACAAAATGGACAAAATAAAGAGCCATAAAACTTACCTTACTTTGGTCTCATTTCNTTGCAATGGACAAAATAAAGAGCCATAAAACTTACCTTACTTTGGTCTCATTTCTGAGGATGTTTCCCCTTGGGAGGGCAAGAGTAGTCACTTATCTACCCCAAAACTGTGTCAGCAGTACTATTTGTAAGAGCAAATCATTTTAAACCATCTGATATGTCCAGTAGTTGGGAACAGGCTAGACAAACCTCAGGTACAGTGGAAAGGCTATGGGCCTGGCATGCTGCCTGGTACTCACAGGCCTTCAACAAAGGGCCTTTCCTTTCCCTTTTCTCTTTGTATTCTATGTTCCTATTTAGTATTGTTGATAAATCCATGAATGAATAAAAGGACAAATGAATGAATTCCTTAAAACATGTGTTAAACCAAATGCCCAGAGGATATATCCTTTAAAAGACAGAACATTTGAAGACTAACGTGCAATTTTTTGTCTCAGGATCAAAGTCCTTCCATGGAATACATATTTAAAATTATAACTACATTTTATAGAAAGAGATTATTTTAATTAATGTTAGTTCAATCACTCCAAACTTTTACGGAGTGCATAAAAATAAATAGCAAAGTTCCAATTCATAAAAGTATCAGACTCTGCCTTAAACTTCAACACAATCTCAGCCAGGCAGACACTGATAACTTGCCATAAAGAAGAGGATCAGCTAATACATGGAATTTTCTAAACATTACTGTGATAGAGCAAAAATGGGGAAGAAAGAAAGAAATTGTGTGCCATAATGTGTGAACAAAAACCAATCGGCTGTAATTTCTCGAGAATGCAGCCCAAAAGAAACTGAAAAAGTAAAAGCAGAGGTGAGGCTGGTTGGCTTGGCAGCTTTTATTAGTAAGTACTGCCTATTTGGAGAGGTACAAAATGTGATCTCATCACTTCTTTCTGCTCTAGAGAATCCAATTTGGGTCTACTTTTCTTCTTCTGAGTGCCTGTGCTTGGTTTCAGACCATTTTTCCTGGCACTCATATGCAAGAAATAAAAAAGGAGACATATGACCTCACCTGCTCCAGTACCTTCCAGAACCTGACAGAGAGCAATGCTTCCTGTGCTTTGCTTTCTTTAGCCTGATTCATTTCACAATAATGGAAAACACATTCTCTCAAAATACGCGAATCACGGAGTTTCAAGCAAAGCTGTAGTTCTGTGTTGCACGTGTTTGCAAGGATGGATAGACTTTCTATCTTTGCTAACTATGAAGGATTTCAAGAAAGAGAAATTTATATATTCTGACCAGTGCCTTTGATCCTTTTTTGGGATCACATACCCCTCTAAGAATCAACTGAAAGCTATGGACTTTCTTTCTAGAAAATGTACAGATCGACTTACATACATATACACACATCATACATACCTTATCCACGGATGTTTTTGCATGCAATTTTAAGGATTCGTGAACGCCCTGAAGGTAGGCCACAGGACTCAAATTCAACATCCTTGTCATTATTTGCAGATGACATGGAACTATATAAAGAGAACCCTAAAGATTCCACTAAAAATCTACTAAAGCTGATAAATGAATTCAGTAAAGTAGCAGGATACAAAATAAATATTCAGAAGTTGCTTACATGTTTATGCATCAATAATGAACTATCAAAAAGAGATATTAGGAAAACAGTCCTATTAGGAAAATGACAGCATGAAAATAAAAAATAAAAACATACCTGGGAGTAAATTTAACCAAGGAGACAAAAAACTTGTATTCCAAAAATTATAAGACATTGAAGAAAAAAAATTGAAGAAGATACAAATAAATGTAAGCATATGCCATGCTCATGAATAGGAAAAAATAACATCGTTAATTCATCCATATTACACAAAGCAATCCATAGATTCAATGGAATTCCTATCAAAATACCAATGGCATTTTTCACAGAACTAGAACAAATCATTCTAAAATTTATATGGAACCATAAAAGATTCCAAATAGCCATAGCATCTTGAGAAAGAAAAAAGTTGGACATATCACACTACCTGATATCAAATTATACTTTCAGGCTATAGTAATCAAAACAGCATGATACTGGCATAAAAGCAGACACAGAGATCAATGGAACAGAATAGAGAGCCCAGAAATGAACCCATGCCTATGTGGTCAATTAATCTATGACAAGGGAGGCAAGAATATACAATGGGGTAAAGAAAGTTTATTCAATAAGTGGTGTTGGGAAAACTGGACAAATATATGCAAAAAAATAATACTAGGCCACTTTCTTATACCATAAATGAGAGTAAACTCAAAATGAATTAAAGACCTAAATGTAAGACCTGAAACCATAAAACTAGAAGAAAACATACACAGTAAACTGTCTGGCATTGCTCTTAGTATTTTTTCTGATACATCTCCTCAGGCAAGAGAAACAAAAGAAAAAATAAACAAATGTATCTACATCAAACTAAAAGATTTTTGCACAGCAAAGGAAATCATCAAAAAAAAACCCCACAAAGACAACCTAATGATTGGAAGAAGATATCTGTAAATGCTACATCCAATAAGGGGTTAATATCCAAAACATATGAGGAACTTACACAACTTACCGCCAAAAACAACAACAAAAAAACAGCCCAATTAAAAAATGGGCAGAAGAACTGAATAGACACTTCTCCAAAGAGGACATACAGAGGGCCAATAGACATAAAAAGATGCTCAACATCAATAACCATCAGAGAGATGCAAATTAAAAGCACAATGAGATATCACCTCATACCCGTCAGAATGGCTGCCATCAATAAATCAACAAAACAGTAAATGTTGGCAAAGATGTACAGAAAACGGAACCCTCACGCACTGTTGATGAGACATCAAATTGGTGCAGCCCCTATGGAAAACACTATGGAGAGTCCTTAAAAAATTAAAAATAGAACTACCTTATGACCAAGCAATTCTACTTCTGGTTATTTGTATGAAGAAACCTAAAACACGAATTTACAAAGATATACACACCCCTACATTCATTGCAGCATTATTTACAGTAGCCAAAATATGGAAGCAACCTAAGTGCCCATCAATAGACGATGGGATAAAGATGTGGTACATATATGCAACTGAATATTCCTCAGTCAATAAAAAAATGAAATCTTATCATTTGTGACAACATGGATCAACCTAGAAAGTATTATGCTAAGTGAAATAAGTCAGACAGAGAAAGACAAATACCATATGATTTCAGTTATATGTGAAACCTAAAGAATAAAATAAACAAATAAACAAAACAGAAGCAGACTCACAGATACAGAGAACAAAATGAGGGTTTCCTGATGGGATGGGGGTTGTGGAACTAGGTAAAAATGGTGAAGGGATTAAGAAGCAAAAATTAGTAGTCACAAAATAATCATGGGGATGTAAAGTACAGCATGGGGAGCATAGTCAATAACATTGTAGTAACTACGTATGGTGCCAGGTGGGTACTAGGGAAAAAAAATAATTCCTGCTCTAATTCATTGTTTTCAAAAAGAAAAGCTTAAAATTACCCAGGTAGTTCAGGCCAAAAGAGACAATGTACAAATTTCAGAATCTAAAGATAAAGTAGAGATCTGTCCTTCAATTATTTTTATATGTCAATATAAAAGCAGCATTTTGCTTCTTTGTATCAGTAGAACTCTCTTTTCAAACAAAATTTTCAGTAGAACACCAATACTTAAAACAGGTAAAAAATAAAGCTAACTGACAAAGATGCTGGGAGAGTAGATCTCCACCCTTTTCAATCGCCCATGAAGCCTGAGGCACCTCTGGCTCATGGGCAATGAAAAGCACTGACCTGGGCCTGCTCTGCTAGTCCACAGAGACTTACCACAGTCTCCAGTCTTGTCTGTATGCCCAGCTACTCCAAACAAGGTAACAATCTCATGTTCAAATAGCAATCTTAACACCACAGAACCCACCTATTTCTTTGCCCAGTTGAGAGAACTTCAGAGATCCCGCTGAAGAGACGACAGCACACCTGCCCCATGGCCCAGCCTTGATCCTAATGCTCTCCTTGGGCAGGTAACCCTCCCATTCAGATGTATTGAAGGGAAAATCTGTGGCCTCTACCATGGATACATTCACTTGGTCCCGAAGGTGGCAGAGCAGGGCCTCTGCACTGAACTTGACACCAGGCCCTGGCCCCTTGTAGGACACATTGTACTTGTTCAAGCTCAGGTAATTCCTCCAGATCTTCTGCAGCCTGAGGATAAGGTTTTTGGAAGAGCTGTCTTTGCTCCACATCTGGAAAGTTTCTAGCTCGGTCTTGGGCTGATCCCTAGGACTGTGGAGGGCCTGGCTGCCCCTGTGGGTGTCCTGGGTGTTGCTTGAAGGTGCAGACTGGGAACCAGGCCCCATGGCAATTTTCTTCAGACCCCTCAGCACCTGCAATTTCTCGGTTTGCAATTTAAGGGGATCATAGTAACTCCCTTTCTTCTTCTCCTTCCACATAGAGATGACTGCAAACAGGAGAAAGGCCAGCACACAGCAGCTGAATTTTTTTTTCAAGTTGGTGGGAATCATAATGAAAGATTCATTCAAGGGAGCCACTCTGTTCTGAGCAGGAAAACAAGCCTAGAAAAAGTAAGACAAGGCAAAAAACGATGTAAAGAAAATCTACAAGTGTGACTGTCAAGAGGCAAGGTGATGGGCGGAGCAATGAATTTAAAGTGACAAGATTTGAATTCTACCAGGTCTGCAGCGCTCTCGCTCGGTCTCTCTCTGACACACACACACATACACACAAAATCACTCTCAGTTTTGGTTTTGAATGTAGAGAACAGTCCTCAGACACTCCCTTCCTGTGTTCTCCATGATTCCTTTTTACACTCTAAATCCTACTTTCCTCTTGTCTTTGTCTAGCTCCCCAACTGCACTCTGAACTTCCTGAGGTCAGGAATCACATCTCACACATCATTTGGTTCCTAGGGCCTTACACTATCTGTTAAATGAAGGTGTGCATGCTTGAAAAACTAAAAGAAAACGAAGAGCAGACTAACTGGTCTACATCATAAGAACTCAAACTCCCTAAAATCCTAAGGGGCCCAGAATTCTTCTAAAATTGCCAGAAAGAGATCTCTCACCATGGACAACACCATAGCTTTGTGATGCATCTCTCTAAGTGGTGTTGGACTCCTGAGTTAGAAGAAGAGCAAGGGCTAGCTTCACAACAAAACATCCAATTTTATGGAGTGCATTGTGAGTGCTATCAAGTGTCGGGAAGCTAGCTGACCTCATGGTAAAGGATAGGAAATCTTGGTAAGACAGCAGACAAATGATCAATTCAGGACATGAAAACAAAGATGAATTAAGCACACACAATGTTATTTTATTTAATGTCACCATAAACCAGGGCCACTGTGATATGCAACTCTAGTAAGCACTATGTTTACGACAGTCTAATATGAAGGGCATCTCCTGAGCTGTGCAGAGGCCCTGACCACCGCCAGCAGTGGTATTCTAATCTCCACTTATAGATCAGCCATCTGAGGCTCTGAGAGGTTAAGAGAAGTGCCTAGGATCACAGAGCTGAGTAAATGGTAGCACTATGGTTCAAATCCAAGAGCACTTGATTCTGTAATCCATGTCCTTTCTACAACATCCTGTACAGAACTGCTGGAAGTTCTGGAAAATGGACTTCACTAAGAAAATAGAGCCTAATAGTCCCTTTTATATCTAGGTAAAGACCTACTTTGTTTACCCAGAATTTATTGTGTAACTGAATGGAAGGTGAAAGTACTTTAACCTCAAACAATGTCTGTATCTTTTGAAAAACATTAAACTCTTTCATAAATAAATGGGTTAATTTACCATCATGAGTGTAAGGAATCACCCCCTGGGCTTTTGCTAACCCACTAGGATCTACAGTTCCTTCCCATGCAGCCTGCTCCTAAGGATATCAGAAATAAGGTGGCAGTGCCCGGCCGGGCGTGGCTCAGCGGTTGAGCGTCGACCTAGGATCCAGGCGATCGGGGTTCGGTTCCCGGTCGGGGCACATGCCCGGGTTGCGGGCTGGGCAGCCGATCAATGACCCTCTCATCATTGATGTTTCTCTCTCTCTCCCTCTCCTTTCCTCTCTCTGAAATCAATAAAGATATATTTAAAAAGAAAAAAAAAAGAAATAAGGTGGCAGGAGTACTAGGCCAGGTATTCGGGAAACCTGGGTTCTCATCCCTGTTCTTGGTGACCGGATACATCACTTAACCTCTCCGCACCTAAGTTTCTGTAGAGTAGTCCTCTCTTCCCTATCTCATTTACGGAGTGCTGGGAGAAAAAAACAGGTATGGTATTGTCAGGCTTTGAACTGGGTAAATGTAAAGACACAGGAGGTATTCTAAACAGAGACCAGAGAGCAGCCCCTCGGCATGAGGACCAGGTGGAGGCGACAGGGGACAGTGGAGCACTGGCCAAGCCTCATCAACCTGAGCTTCGGGTCCTTCATCTGAGACTTTAATTTCAGCGGCATCCAGATCATTCTCGGAATCAACTGGCAGTACCATCCAAGCTGCGCTTCCCACCCCCCCAGACCTCAGGAGCCAGGAGCTCTGGGGAGAAGGGTTCCTGCCTTGGGCTGCTGACATTTTGAAAGTGGTGAAAAGTAGGAAGAGGGAGAATTCAAACTTGAAATCAAGAAATGACAGAGAGGGCTTGTTGTATCATCAGAAAACTAAGAAACTCAATTTCCTCAGATACCCAACACAGCTAATCAAATGACTATGACAGCTGAAGAACTAGAGGAGGGAAAGTAGCATCTAAGAAGTGCCTACTATATATGGCAGGCACTTTACCTGCAGTCTCTCATTGAATTTTTACTATAACACTATGAGGTAGATATTAAATGTCCTATTTGAGGAAATGAAGAAACTGAAGCTTAGCAAGGTTACAGGGTTTCTCCAAAGTCAATAGCTAATCAGTACTAGAACCAGGATTCCAACCCAGGTCTCTCTAAAAGTTTGTGGTCTTTGCACCAAAAGGACAGGCATCTGTGATAAAGGACAGTGAAAAGTCAGGGTTAATCAAACAGGACTCAGAAATCAGGGTCACTAGAGACACAACTCAATCTGCCAGACAATCACAGAAAAACCACCTTTACCATCAGCACTATAGCAGCCATCACCTGGGTGCACATTTACCACTCAGGCAACCCTTTCACAGTAATTATATTCATGAGACCCAGTATAATCTTATGAAATAAGTAGGGAAAATTTTGTTAGCACTATTTATAGCTGAAGAAACAGATTTATATATATATATAAAATATATATATATTTTATTGATTTCAGAGAGATATAGAAACATCAATGATGAGAGTCATTGATCAGCTGCCTCTTGCACCCCCCCCCCCACACTGGGGATCAAGCCCGAAACCCAGGCATGTGCCCTGACCAGGAACTGAACCTCAATCTCCTGGATCACAGGTCAATGCTCGACCACTGAGCCACAACAGCCAGGCGAGATTTTTTTAAAAATATAAATAATTTTCAAAGTTGCATGAGTGATTCGGAAATAGTAGAGTTGGGACTTAACTTTTATGTGGATGAGTGATGGGGACTATAGTCTCAGAAAGGGCTGGTGTTCAGCTTCCTGCCACCACCTACTCTCCAAGGTTGAGTTTCCCAGGGAACAGGAGCTCAGTCAAACAGCCAGGCACAACACAGTCCTGCAGCTTTAAGACAGCCTCAGTCTTCAGGGTCTGTGCCCCATCATGGCCTCAGGACACTCATCTGACACCTCCTGACTCTTCTTGAACACCACCCTCTGTTGAGGCCCCAAATCCACCAGCTCTCTGGAGCTTCTCATCATAGGCACTTTTAGTTTCAAGACCTTTTTCATCTCTCAAGCTGCTCTAAGGAGACAGGGACTGAAGAAATTTAATCTAAGCAGCGAAAGCTGAAGAGAAGAGGTAGGAAATTTTTTGTTTTCAAATCCTTTGGGAAAATACACCAAGTTCTGAATTTTCCAATCTGACTACTTAAGCTTCCAGGCCTCTACACTGCTGTAATCTCTCCCTTAGTGCATTTGTCTGGCGATCAGACAGCATGACTTTTCTGCTTCTGATCCCCTGTGGAGCCCACCTCCTTTTTAGCACTATTCTTGCTCTGCCTGCTCCCATCTACTGCTTGCTTTTCACACTGATCTTTGCCAAAAGGAAACTCCTCCTGGCTCATTTCTGAAACCCCAGTGTCCAGCACAGTGCCTAGGGGACACTCAATAAAGACTTATTGAATGAACGGGGCTCTGTCAATGAATCCTTACAACCCCCATCAGACATCTAGAAGAATACAATAACAATCCACATTATCACCTACAGAGAACAAGTCAACACTGAACCAACAGAAAGACAATCCCAGCAAACAGAGGATCCTGCCTCCTGTCGCAGTCTATCCATCACTGTATGCATAGCATCAAGCGCAGGATTTGGCAAATGGTGGGGCTATGTGGACTGATTTACAGAATAACTTCAAATCTTGTATTTATAGAGTATAGAAATAGCCAAACCACCTATTCCCACCCCTCATTAAATCAACTAAATATATATATATATGAAGGAAACAGCAAAGCTGTAGCCAAACATTGAGACCCTGTGATGCTTGTCAGCACACTCTACCACACCACTTTTTATTCAGGGATGTCCCCTTTTGCTGCCAAATCCACACCTCCAAGTGTTTCTTACCTGCTTTGGTTTATCCCCCTAGGGCCGCAGACTCTCCAGGTCCTCAGGATCTAGCACTATTCTTCATGGGAGGGATATTTGCTTTGTTAGGTTTAGAGGCCAAGGCTCATTTTTCTCAGGATGATGAATAAACATCTGCGAAGGCAAAAAAAAAAAAAAGAGAAATAAGAGCTGTTTTCCAACGGGCAGGGTTAAAAATTAACGAGATGGCACTTCTGCTAGTCTCCAGTGTGGGCTCTGGCCTAGGCTATGGCTCAACCCAGAAAGCCCTGAGGACTCAGAAAAAGAGAGATGAGAGCCTATTTCAGGTGCAATGGCCTGGGTCTATGAACAACACAGACAGCCTAGAAATAGCCTGATACTGGATGAGAACATGCTAGAAAGACAAAGCAGACACCACAGATAAATCTGGGGAGAAAGGATTGGTTAGTCATTGGTTTGGGGATATATAAATGGCAATTTGGGGAAGAGAGGAATAAGTTCATTTCAAACTAAACTGTAGACAGAGTTTTTAAAATTATTTATTATCAAAGAATATTTAGTGAAATGTGAAAGTTTAATCATATAATGTTAGTATAAAAAATAGGTCATAACCAGTATATACTATCCAAACACAGAAAAATTTTTTAAATGTGCATGTAGAAAGAAAGGACTAAAAAATAAAATACCCTGGATGGTAGAATAATGTGGTTTCATTTTTTTATAATGTTTTATACATTCCAAATTTCTAAAATGTAGATCATTACTCTTAGAGTTGAAAAAATATTATAAAAATATAATTTTTAAAAGTTAAAAATACAATTCTATATTTGTCAGCTCTTTCTTGTTTCTGATGGAATGTAGAAAAATAACAAGGAAAATTTTGATAGAGTCAGTTGCATGAAAATCCCAAATTCATGCAATGAAAAATACTGTAATAAAAAGGAAAATAAGAGTCAAGGTATGCAAAGGGTTAATACAGTAAAAGCCTCTCAAGCAGGCAATCAACATAAGCAGGCAGACAAGTCACAAAAATGGAAAATACAATTAACAAACATATGAAATTATAATTAATCTTAACCCAAAAGAGGCAACTGGAATATTAAGATATATAAGATAAACAGAATTTACATCAGCCAGCCATTTTCAAAATGAAAATACTCATTTCTGGACAGACTGTAATGAAATTGTTATATTTCAAAGATGCTGTAGAAATGAACTTAACCTTTTTAGAAAGTAATCAGGCCATAGAATTAAGAGCTCCTGACTATTATCAAACTTCCAGGAAGTAAAACTAAATAAATAATTCAAAGAAGAAAAAGGTTTTACGTTTTGGTTTCTTCACATGTAAAATGATTTCTTCCCTTACACAGTGTGGTGAGGACTGACAGAGGATTAATGGAATAAAGAATGAGTTTTATAAAGCAATATGCACATGCAAAAAAAAAAAAAGTTTTCAATTTATAATGGTGAAAAATCTAAGGTTAGCAACTAAGCTTTCAGCAATACTAAAATAATTAAACAATGGCACATCCACCATTATAGAATGTGTGTGTGTATAACTGTGTGTGATTTAAGTAGTAATAAGAAAAAAAATGCTTAAAATATTATAACAAAAAAAAGTGCCAGAAAATGTCACCATTGCGAATAAAAGTTATGCACGGCCAAATACCTAGAAAAAATGTACATGCTTGAGACCTGATGACTGTTGATGAGCAAATGGATAAGAGATGAATTCTCACCTTTCAGTCTGGCTTCCTTTATTCTTTTTTTTCAATTATATTTATTTTACTTTTTCCATCTCCATTTATCCCTCTATGTCCCCTTCCACCTCTGCCCCCCACCCCTGCCCCCAGTCACCACACTGTTGTCCACATCCATGAATTTTCTCTTTCTTTTTCTCTTTTGCTCAATCCCTCCACCCCACCCTCCCAACAGCACCCCCCACCCTTGGACCAGAGCCGGCTTCCTTTATTCTCATTATGTTAGTTGAGTGATTAAAGTAAAACTATTGGGGACAGTATCAAAAATACACTTCAAGCTTAAATATCAACTTGATACACAATATTAAATTGATTCACAATATCGAAGCCTGTCCTGGCGGATGCAGCATTAACAGAACTAAGAGGAAAGAGTAGTGGCCACAAACTGGCTTCATCCCATGATGTATGCAGAAATCTTTCCCTGAAACCCTGAGGTTCAAGCTGGGGGAATTTCAGCTTTTCATAACTGGGAAACAGGCAGGCAGGCCCTGCATATGACTCATAGGGCAAGAGTTAGAGGTGCCATTCTGCTCTTTGTCAAAAATGTCAGGGCTCTGTTTATGAATTTAGAGAACTGACTTCCTGGTAGCCTCCTGGTAGAGTCAGAAAATATTCCTGGTAGCTATCCTTCTTTTCATGTCATGTACATTTTCTTTGTGGCATGAGAGTTTGTAACGATGCATGTATTCATATTATTATTTGGTTCCCTTTGTCTCCTCCTACAAAAAAAATGTAAATTCCATAAGCAGAAACCTCATCAGCTTTCTTCACTACTATCTTCAATGCCCAAATGAGTGTTTGGCACATAGTAGGCATTTAATAACAATTTGTTGAGGGAAGAAAGAAAGGAAGAAAGGGAGGGAGAG